TGAGGCAAATTGCACGGACACATAAGAATAAGTACAACCCGGATTAAATAAAACATTAGCCATCCGGTCACAGACAAGAATAGTACATGTGATCACTGCGTCAAACGCCTCCGCCTCAATCTTTCCCAGAAAGGCATAACACTGAGCCATGTCATCTTGACGGGCGACTTCCTTGCCTGGATGCACTGCACCTCTGCCTGCGTTACCATTTCCCCTACCTTCGCGGTGTCGCTGATTTCCTCCTCGCCCACCTTGTGGATGCCCTCGACCATTATTACCATTTCCCATGGGTACCACTGTTCTAGACTGCTGCTACACGAAATCCAATATGCGCGGGTGGGGACAATCTCTCATCATATGCCCAGGTTCTCCACAATTGTAACAAGTACGATCAAAAGATAGTCTGCTTCCTACCGAAGGTGCGGCTCCCTGGCTATCCTGAATCAAATTCTGATGTGGAGTTCCGGAGTAATTACCTATAGAAGCGGGCATAACGAACTGAATTGATCGGGCTGCAAGAGTCCCCGTTCCCGAACCTCTGGAGTAAGAACCTGAAAGTTGCGTGAATTCTTGGCTTTCTTAGCCAATGCCTTAGCCTGACCGCTCGCCTTACTCCCTCCACTCTTTTCACAAAATTTGTTACCTCATTGAACCTTTTTTCTGCAGAGGTCATATGAACAGACAATACCTGCAACTCAGAATTTAGTCCCTTAACAAATAAGTGGATCCTCTCTCACCAATTGTGTAGCATATCTAGACAAAACATGGAACTTGGCCTCATAAGCAGCCACATACATACCACCTTGCTCCAAAGCCATGAACTCATCCTTCTTACGATCTCTCAAAGTTCGGGGCACATATTTCTCCAAGAACAGAGCATGAAACTGGGTCCAAGTAAGTGGGGGTAAAACTGAAGATTTGCATTCCACATAAGTTTTCCACCACTGCTTAGCCTCACCTTGAAGCTAAAAAGTCACAAACTCAGTTCCATGCTGATGGACAATTCCCAACTTATGAAGCCTCTCATAGCAATCTAAAATGAACTCATATGTGTCCTCACTCTCAGAACCATGAAACACAGGCGGTTTCAACTTTATGAACTTAGTCAACATCTCATGCTCATTATTAGTCATAACATGACCCAAGAAAGGACGGAAAAAACATCATTACCTACAGTTCCACCCACCTTGGGGACAGTGATAGCAATAGGGGATTGCGGGAGCTTGAGTTGCTTGAACAGATGGAAGCACTCCAGGACCAACCAATCCTTTCAAGAACAACATGATTTGTTGAGCTAACACTGGGTCTAAGGGAGGAATACTTGTAGTCTCAGCCTGTACCTCTTTCTCTTGTCCAACACTCTCCTCATTCTCAACCTCTACATTCTCATCTACCTCTTCATGGTGCGCAGTAGTGGCCTCATTTCTGGGAGCATCTCCAACCGGTGATCCATCCCTATTAGGTGTCTCACTTTCTCGACCTCTACCCCTTGCTCTTTCTCTACCCTTACCTCAACCGCGATCTTTTGTTGTAGATGCCTCAGCTGGAGCGTTGACAGGAACTACGGGCCTGACGTCGTTGAACCTAGTGTTAACCATCTGCGGACAGAAGAGTGAAAGAGATTAGATATCGATTCGGATAGCTAGATACCAATTAGAATCAAGTTGTAGCACGAAAGGAGACAAGAGAAAATAGAGAGATTTCCTAAAGTCTTATAGCCTCTCGAAGAAAAGTACAGACGTCTCCGTACTGTTCCACAAAGACTTTACTAGACTCGTTTTAGTACATCGAGATCAACGAACCTAGGCTCTGATACCAACTTTGTCACGACCTAAACCGTCGTGAGTGGCACTTACACTAACGCTCCTGTAGAAGAACCATTACTACAACCCAAGCTAAACAACTTAACCAAAAACTAAGACATTTAAAGATACGAGAGAAGGTTTAAATGCTAAGGAAAAGAAATAGGGAGTTCCCATAAACTCCCAAAAAAAGTCTAACAACCAAAACAATGCGGAATAACACCTAAAACCTGAAAGTCAATGTACCAAAACATCTAAAGTTCAACAAGTCTAAGAATATGGGTACAACCCAATTAAACATAAGAAATCATATTGCACTAGTCTAAGTCCGAAATGGGGGCATAAACGAAGGAGAACTCATGGCTACCCGAAAAAACTGGCTCACCCTTGAATTCGATGACGATTACTGATCTTCTAAGCGAGGTCTGTCAATAGCCGCTTGAAGATGCCCTGTACTCAACAAAGAAATAGCAAGTGCAGTATCAGTACACAACCATAGTGTATTGGAAGGATCACACAGCTATCCCAATAAGTACAACATATATAAGTCATTACAACATAATAATAACATGCATACACCGAACATATACAATATCAATATCATGTACGAATAACGATCAAGTTTACAATTCTCAAATTACACAGTTATGTCAAGTCAATGGTGCTCTCATGGAATCCATACCCAAATTGTTAGTGTACCGGTACGTGGTACCCGTTCCAAGTTAGCGTGTCGGATCGTGACACCTGTTCCAATATTTATGTCGGTGCGTGGCAACCGATCCCAGTTAGTGTGTCGGAACGCAACGCTCAATCCATTCAAAAAGCCACAATCACAATCACAAGCATATTCACATAATCATACAAGCAAGTCATGATTCATGGCATTCAACCATTCAACTATCCTCATTTACGATTTGTGTGATCAATAATGCAACATTCGCATACATACATGCATCATAATGAAGCAAGATGAAACATATATCACACAGCATGAAATCACAGCCATCACCTACCTCGAACCAAGCTCGAATTCCCTAAGAAACATAATTCTTCCCTTTTCGGATTCTTTCCGCTTGTTCTTGGTCTACAAAGAATCATAATAACACGGAAATCAATAAACAATGTCTAATTACACGGGTTAAAGTCAACACTATCAACCCTAGATCAACCACATGATTCTCATTACCCAAATTAAGGCTTTTCCCACTATCCAAACAATTCCAAAACCCTTCCCCAATCGATAATACCCATTAGTTTACGTTCTACGAATCGAAAAATGGATTCGGGGAGTTAAAACCTTACCTTTAGTCTTAAGAATGGTGAAAAATGGTCAAGAACTCGCATGGGGTCGTCTCCTATCTCTCAAAGTCGAAAATTGCAAAATGAAATGATTTTGGGGTTTATTTCTGATTTAAGTCGCATCTGTCCCGCCACAACGTTACTCACCCCGCTACAACAGCCCCGCCCTGGCGGCACAAAATCTCGCTATAGCAGCTTGCACTGATCAGAGAGCTAAATAAAGAATTTCTAAACCCCCATTTAACAACATACCTTCATCCCATGACACTCAGAAACTACCCTCTCATGCTATGATCAATTTCAGGAGTTCTACTCGCCCGTATTAAATTCCGTAAAGTCGTACGGGTTTCTTAATGCCTTAGCTATCTATTCATATGATCGAATTCATAATTAGATCTCCCAATTGTTACCAGATTTATCTAGACCTCACTGACTCCGACTTCATCCAAATCTGGACTAGGTTGAGAAATTCCAAGTTACTACGAAAAAGTTTTTCGGCCCAAAATTTTTCTCCGATGGCTTTTCTATAACGATGGAATACAGTCGTTACACATATCCTTTCCTACGGTTTCCCCATTGTGCATACACAGGCTAAGTAATACTACAGGCAATAACATGCATACCTATACCTATTAATGGACAACACAAACTATCTTAATAAGGAAACTCAAGGCTAAACAAGAACTAGAACACCACCCCCTAGTCATTTTCTCATCTCCCACCTTAACAACAATGAATAACAACCTATAATCCTACAGACTCCGTGTCCGAAGGCCTACACATGAAACTCCGAACATCTATAAGATATAATGTGGAAAAAATGGATCTGACTTTTAGTTGAAGGAAAGCTAGCCAACCTGGACGTCAAGCATCAACTAATGAACCTTACCCATGAACTTCTAACTGCGTGAGAGCATACCATGATGAATGAGCACAAAATTTCTTAGGTTTTCACCTTCCTTGCACTGTAATCCTTCACCCTCATTGCTCCCTTGCCTTAGATGTCTTTAGAGGGTTTTTGGAGCAACCTTCGTCTATTTTTTTTCTTTTGAAAATGCGAGAAATGTGTAAATACAATTTGATTTTTGACCATATGGGAAAAATCAAATTGAGCCAAAATCATCGGGTGCTCAAATTTAATTCAAATTCTTGCACCGTATTTCCATAACTTCGGAACTCCGCAGGAGATGCATTTTAGTAATGACTGATCGAATCGTTACAATCACCTATTGTTCTCTTTTATATTATCTTATTGTATTATTTTTCCTAGCAAGTGTATGTATGCATGGAAGTTCAACTCATTAACCAATTAATATTCGTCGATGCTCAATGGTGTAAGTTTTTTAATAATAAAAGCTATATTTACCTGTTATAATAGATAAATTGTCTTACTTTTAAAATTACAAATCTTACTTTGATGAAGTTTTACTTGTAAATATCTTTCAAATAATTTAGTACGTGTATATAAGTTAAACTTTGCAAAATATGTAGTCTACTTGTTTTAGAATTTTGCATTTTCACATGTATATAAAATGTGTTTTCTTTTTCTATTTGAAACGACTGATTAATTTGGAAATTTTGATTCATCAGTAATAATATTCAACATATAATTTAATTAGTTGATAAACAACTTGGAGATCAAAACCATATAATGCCACCGAACCTTTTCCTATAGTCCAATTGCATGATTAAATGAATTTATTTGGTATGTTCATGTCCCTATTGTCATTAATTTGAAAGTGAGTGACCACCAACCTTGCTATGGACACTAAATATACTCAAATAATTCTTCTATATAAGGATCTTCCTTTAGCCAAACTATAGTATATCTCCACTAAACTTTTTGAGTTCCCAAAGTTTGTGAATACATATATCTTTTCCCTTCCTATTTCCTTGGCTCCTTCCATTTACATAGATTCCAAACCAAACATGAATTCAGAAAGAGAAAACAATAATAAGGCCATAGTGAAAACTCTTTATAAGGCATTAGCATGTACATGTGGTGACACTAATAAAAAAGTTACCGGTATTATTGTTGATGACTTAGAATGGTGGTTTCATGGACCACAAAATTGTCACTATATGATGAAACTTCTTACTGGAGAACTATCTAATAATAATAATTCTTTCAAGTTTGAGCCAAGAAGTGTAGATGCTATCGATGATCGTGTTATCGTTGAAGGATGGGAAGGTGCAAAAGCTTATTGGGTACACGTTTGGACATTTAAAGATGGTGTTATTACTCAATTTAGGGAGTATTTCAATACTTGGCTTACTGTGACGGAGTTGAGGCCTATGGGTTGGCTGCGCTCCACCACACTGTGGCAGAGCCACCCTCGAGACCTCGTGAAACGCTCACTTCCGGGGCTTATGCTCGCAATTTGAGAGTGGTGAACGGATGTGTCATGTCATGTAGTACTATATATATAATCCGTTAGGGAAAAGAAAGCAAGGAGTGTTTGCCTTCTTCCTTACCTAAGTGTGAAAAAATGTTAATGTTCAAAGTTTGGTTACATATCCAACGGACAATTTGATGAAACATTGTCCCATTTTAATGTAGGAGTGTTTGACTTGGCATGGTGTTTAAGAAAAGAAGGAAGACTTTTGAAAATTGTGGTTTAAAATAATTGTTATTATTTATTTGGTTTTAAATCATTTCATTAAGAATAAAAGGAAAATTTTAAAGTTAAATGGTTTCTAATTATTGTAAGGTGACATTCTTTTTGGGACGAACTAAAAAAGAAATTAAAGGGTGCCACATGAAACGAGATGGAGGAAGTACTTTTTTTTTTTTTTACAACAAACCAAGAAAATCTAGTCCTGATATAATAGCCAACTAGCTAACCAAACAGACAAGTATGTCCTAAACAAATTTCATGCGATAAGCTTGATCAAAAAAACATATATAAAGTTTTGAACCTTAAATTCTTAGATAGGAGATCTCTGCTCAACTAATTCAATCATTCCATTGTTAAATGAAATATTGTACTTATGAATGGCTGGTTAAAGATGTTGTATTCAAATTTCATGGTAGGACAGACCATGTGGAATGATATTTTTTGGCAGCTTTCTTTGGCAATCACTTTGGACTTTGGTCTCCACAAAAGTTGAGCATTTCGTGATTAATGAAGTTAATCGTTAATCCGTGTAACATTATTGTGACGATTATATTTAGGTATCTACAAATTTGTACAAAATTTGCCTTTCCCTCCCTATGGACATAATACGATCGGTGGTGACGTGGTGTCTTTTAAGTGTCTCCACGTAAGTTTTAAGTGAGCTTTGATCATGTCTATTGTGAAATTTGTAAACAGATATTTTTATTTTTAAAGTGAAAAATGATACTGAAATTCAAGTGATGTTTAATCATAAATACAAATTGAAGTTGTCATTCTTAAAAAGAAAATTTTTTTGTAAGTAATTTTCAGTGAATAAATTTTGTTATATTTCAAATTCATAAAAATTCAAAACTTTAACTTCGAGTTAAATCTTGAAATTTTATACCCAAACATATTTAAAATTCGGGAAAAGTTTAGGGGTGGCGACTTTTCCACTTATTATTTTCACCAAAAGTCGTTTCTTGTTGTTACACTTTGCTTTACGGTGATACTTCTTCCGTCCACTTTTAATTATCATGGTTTCCCTTTTCAGAGTCAAACTATAAGAATTTTGACTAACATTTTACCATGTATTTTTTCATCATACTGATATGCAAGAAAATGCAATTTATAGTACATTTTATGTAGTTTTTGAATATCTAAGTTTTTTGTTTAAAATATCGAATAAATAAATCTAATTTAACTTTAAAAATTAGTCAAATTGACTTTCGAAAAATGTAACATGACAAATAAAAGTGGACGGAGGTAGTACTGTATATTCCACTAATTATTTATTGCCATAATAAACCACAAGTTTGCACTCCATTTAAAATTCATGATAAGTGCTTTTAATTATAAAATTCTGAGTAAAAAATTATATCGGAGATTATGTATCTTTGCTATTTTAACTTATAATATTCTTTGATAAAACATAATTATCAGCATTGAATTTTCAATCAAATATTTATTTTACTATTTTCTTTCAAAATTATTATACCCTTAACTGAAAGTTGGAATATCTTAAAGTTATATACAATAATTAATTATAATTATATTTAAATAGTTTAAGAATATTTTTGACGATTATCCTGATATTCATTGGACATTTGGACTGGTCGTATATGTGATAGAAGGGGTCCTTATCTAAATAAGGGGTCCTTTGCTATTAAGGCAATAAGAAAAGTGCATATTGCAATTCAAAAGGATTTTTAATACATGTACATTACTATATATCTTTTGATTATGAGTATGGTCCATTAATTATTTGGTTCAATGAATTAGGGATCACGAACTAATCATGTGTTTAGTTTAGGACCAGATTAATTAAACTTTCTATTACTGTCAAGTCATAAAATTTCGTCCTATTCTCCCTCATAATACACTCAGATTAAAGTAGCTTAAGATACGGAGTAAATATTTCAAAAAGTCATTTAATTATAAAAGCAATGTAGTAAAATCATTTATTATTGTTTTGTATGTATAAGATTATTCAACTCAGGATTTTTCTCTTTAAAATCATTCAATTAAATTTATTATAAAAAAAAACACATTTTAACCCCTTTAACATTTTGGATTTGGAAAAAAAACCTTTTTATATTTTGAATGAGACAATAAACTACCTTATATCTTAAATCAATTACTAAAAATAAATTAAATTATTACATTTATTTTAAAATGTAAAAAACAATCCTCGAGTTAATTATTACCATGAACAAGAATACACGGAGATTGGAAGAGGGAACAGATCAACAGAACATGAAAATCGAACGTGGAATCTTTTAGTATTTGGGTAAATAAAGTCATAATTTGTAATTTTAGTAGATTAAATGTAAAGTCCAAATTACCATCTATTTTTATTTTTCCTATTTATGTAGACACCTAAATTTTATTGGAGTAAAATTTATAAGAAATTTGAATTAAATCCATGTGCATTTGGGTTAAATGTATAACTTACATAAATCACATAGTGTAAAGAGTAATTACAGTATATCCCTACTCTTTTTCTAATTACAATAATCTCTTAAAATTTGTACCTTCGGTATACCTAAGTCACCATCCGGATACATTAATTTGATACAAGAAGAATCCTTCTGTTGCGCTAAAAAAGGGAACAATTTTTTTTCTATTGCGATTAAAAAGGAATAGAAACGTAAATTAAATATCAAATTCATAAATTATGCAATTACGTTGTTTTTACTGCTAATCAATCTCTCCCTAAGCATAGCAACATCAAAAATTTCAAATTTCTTCTCCAAAATTTTCAAAAATCTTTTCAATTTCAATTCAAAATCATTGAAAAATTAAGTTGATACATCATGAATATCTCTATTTTGTTGAGACATTCAATAATATGAGAAAGTGAGGTGAATTGAATCACCCATTGCAGCTTGGAGATCGATGAGTTGAGAAAAATCTGGAAATTTGAAACATTACAGAGACAAGTTTTGCTTTATCTCTATACAATTATTTGAAGATTCTCTCGATTTTTATTCAGAATTGTCAAAAAAAATTGAGATTCAAAATTCTTCTCTCAGTTCATCGAAGATCCTTTCAGTTTTGATTCAAAATTATCAAAAAAAATTGAGATTTAAAATTCTTCTCCCAGTTTATCGAAGATCCTTTCAATTTTGATTCAAAATTGTCATATTTTTTGAGAAGATACATCATGAATATCTTCATTAGACTGCACTTGGAGGTGAAAAAATATGAGCGGAAATTTGCAATGTATCTAGTATACATTGATACAACACACAAAAAGGCTGGAGAGATGTTGTGTAGTCGATTTTTTAATTTGTGATCTTGAGATGTTGTGTAGTCGATTTATTGTGAATAGTTATATCATTGATTATTGTAATGTATCTAGTACATCTTATAAGATGGTTACAAAATTGTACCGATGTGTGTTAGTTTGTTGTTATATTAATTACCATAATTTGATACATAATAAAGTAGTCAACATTGTGATTGTTGTGTATCATATACCTATTATTGGAACTGATACATACTGCTCTAGTTATAGAACATTATGATTAATGTATCAAGATTATTTTTGGATAATATATACATATATATATAGCTTTCTAAGTTGGATAAGACTGAACAAACATTACTGATCGTAGATACATAACACACAACTGATTTGGTACTGTCTATATAGCCTTGTAAATTTGAATAGGATTAAAGATACATTGTAGAACTTGATACATATAAATGATACATTAAGTAGTATGTATCAAGTACATTTATATTGAGCAGCATAAACACCGTAGATACATCGTTTCGTTGTTTATATCTATTTTTCATGAAAGTTTTCATCATCAAAATCTATATGTATCAGAAAATTGTGGATGAAAAAGCTCATTTTTTTTTTAAAAAAAAAACGATAATTCAAGAACTAGAAAGAGAAAAATTTGATGAAGAAATAGTTCTACCTCTTTAGGAACTTGAAATTGATGAGCTGGAGAAAGAATAGATTTGAAATTCAAAAATATAATGATGAAGGTAACTACTGATCTGTGGGAGTGATTTCAGTTGTGAAAATAGAAACAAAAATTGTTGGGTTAGAGGATTGTGAGTTATGTATCTAGAAAAGGAGAGAAGGAGAGAAAAATAGGGATTTTTGTAATATTTTAAAATGGTAGGGAATTTCAGAGAATATGAAAAGAAATATTGTGTAGTTAGGTAATTTTTCCTTAAATATATAATTTGGGCTTTACAAATGATTAAGTCCATTTTATTGAGTTTAAATCCAAGGTCCATTCTATCTTAAAGCCCAAACTTGTGCTACGTGTCATAGAGGCTAGGCATCCAAGACAAACAAGGTGACACCACGTGTCTAATTGAGGCGGTAGTCCTAGTCAAATTCAAGAACCAACATAATCCGTCAAGTGTCAAAATGACATTATTTGACCAATCACAAGCAATCATGTTCACCCCTACAACTATAATAGGGGATATACATGACACTCTAAAGGGGATTCTGAAAACACTTCAACAAGCATTCTGGAAGTATTGAAAAAAGTTACAACATCAATTACATAGTTCTTTAAAGTATTGGTCAACAGAGTTCTTCTCGGAGATCGGCTTGAAATGACGAAGTGTTTTTCGGCGTTCCCATAGATAAAATACATCTCAAGGAGGTCTACATCATCCTACATTCGAGAAATACGATAATGAAAACTCTCAAATCACGAAGAAGTTTAGAAGAGAAGAA